GAAACCACAGACAACCCTATTATTTGTATGGCCATCACATAAAAAGATCTAAATCCTTAGTCTGGGGCAGTGGAAAATAATTAAAGATTCTCTCTTGCACTGCCCCTTCACTTCCCTTTCCCTTTTCTTCATTTTCCCCAATATCTTTGCCCCCCCCCCCTTTTCTTACAGTCACTTCTTCACCAGCAGGTCTACTGTTATAAACATAACTGTTTATAACCTTGTTGAAAACAACCACCTCATTTCAATTTGTTAGCACAGAATGCTATTTATCTTAAAATTACTCAAATAGACTAGATTTAACAAACATACAGAGTTCTGGCATGAAACTCTAGATGGCGCAGTCTGATCGGTCTAACTCAATCTGACCTAATGACATCATTATCACATGGCACAACTGATTGGTTCTCTCCTGTATCGGTAGCCAATGAACTCATTGCTCAACATTCAAATATATGACTAGTGCTTGCCGTAGCAGTTGCAGCTTGCTTCAGAAACCCTCCACCTTCCCCAGCTCCACCTGTATAGATCTGCTACGAGGTGATTCATGTATGCTATATGGGGGTTATTTTATGTATGTTATATTTGCAGCAGCAATAATTCTTACATGCTCACAGCAGCATATTGTGGATGTATTAGTAGCAAGTCTAGCAGCAGCAGCGTAGCAGATCTATTGCACCAAGACCAAATACATTAACATTGTCATGTACATTACCATGCCAATCCCTCCGAGAGATGTCATGACAGAACTATATTTCATACAAATATACACTACTACTAGTCAAAAGTATTTGAAAGATTTTTAATGTTTTTAAAAGAAGTCTCTTCTGCTCACCAAGCCTGTATTTATTTGATCCAAAGTACAGCAAGAGCAGTAATATTGTGAAATATGTTTACTATTTAAAATAACTGCTTTCGTTTTGAATATATTTTAAATTCTAATTTATTCCTGTGATCAAAAAGCTGAATTTTCAGCATCATTACTCCAGTCTTCAGTGTCACATGTTCCTTCAGAAGTCACTATAATATTCTAATTTGCTGTTCATGAAACATTATTATTATTATTATTATTATTATTATTATTATTATCAATATTTAATTGTACAGGCTACATTTATTTTCATACTAAATATCTCAACACACATCATTGGATATGACATTAAGCGCGACTTGTGTAGATGAATTTAGTAAAAAAGTGCCTGCTTACTTTGGCGTGTATTTGTATACTTTTACTATCTAATCAATCAGCATGCGTTAATTTTGTGTCGCTATATGTTTGCCTCACTAAGGTTAAATTATGCCTACGTCTTTCTTTGGCCTGCGCTCTGGAAGTGATCTGTTAATTCTGCTGAACTTTAATTAAAACTGAAACTAAACTATATAAAAACTAAATAAAAATGCGTTCACAAAATAAAAACTAAACTAAAACTAACACAAATATGAAACTAATAAAAACTATTAAAATAAAACAAATTTAAAAATTAAAAACTATAATAAACTTGTTCTGAAGGATCATGTGACACTGAAGACTGGAGTAATGATACTGAAAATTCAGCTTTGAAATCACAGGAATAAATTACATTTTAAAATATATTCAAATAGAAATCAGTTATCTTAAATAATAAAAATGTTTTCACAATATTATTGTTTTTGCTGTATTTTGGATCAAATAAATGCAGGCTTGCTGAGCAGAAGAGACTTCTTTAAAAACATTAAAAATCTTACTGATCAAAAACTGTCAAAAACAGCCTTTTGACAGGTAGTGTATTAAAACACATTTTCTAAAGTGCCTAAATGTCAAAATTAGTACAATATATTTGTTGAAAAAGTCTAATACACTACTGCACTATTAGGCTGTGAGCCTGTTACTCTTATTATTTTTTGTGTTGCTGTCTGCTCTAGCTCCCTCCCTCCCTGTACAATAAATCCACGTGAATATCTGTCTCTGCTAAAATGTTTTAATGTACTTTACAATCGATATTGATGTCCTTTTGCACAGTATTCTGAATGATGATAATAATGGGATGCTTGTACTGATACTAGCAGTTTAATACTCAACTAGGATAATAAAGACAAAATTAGACTATCTAGCGTATTTACAGATGAAACTGACCTGCACTTGAAGCCCTGAACAGGTCAGTGATGTTGCTACATTTCACTGCTTCTTCTGGCCGCTTTCTCTCTTTCATCAAGTCCCGCGCATCGGTGTTGCTCGGAATTGTTTGACGGAAGCGCGGAACATATGTGAGCTGATTCGTATAGTGCAGCGCTGCCAGTCAAGACTAACCAATTTATGATTTATTATCGAATGAAAAAATCGGAAATGATCACTTCGGTACATTGAGAAGGCATACATATAAAATATTAATAATTAAAATAATAATAACAACAACAAAAAAACAGGGCAGCGGGCCAAATCAGCCGCCAGGCCACCGGGAATTCTCCGGGAGTGCTCCCGATGGCCAGTCCGGCCTGGTTAAATTCTGGTTAAATAGAGAAAAACATTTTTATATTTAAGTAACTAATAGCATAATTTTCAACCTTGGGCCTTATTCTTGAAAAACAAAATGACCAATAAAAAGGTGTGAAGCACCAAAGGCAGCCCATATTAAATCTATAAGATGTCTTTAATAGATGCATTTTCATGCATACTATACATATATGTATGTATGTGTGCCTTTACACAGTCACTCACCCAAACCCAACCCCCCCCCTCAGCACCTCATTCACAATTTGTATTGTAAATCATACTTGTGACATTTTAGAAACAAACCGTAAACAATTAAATAATCACACCTTATTTAACAGTCAGTTGCATCATGTGTTTTGTTCATTCCCTTTGTTGTTGACAATTTTACCCCCTTGATATTTATGACACTAAAATGGTGTATCTTCTGGGTTTTAAATAAAGGGTTTCTTATTTGCGTCTTTCCATGTTTGTGGATACACCTATGAAATTTCCTCTCAGATGAGTGCATGCAACTAAATTAAGCCTTTGCGTCAGCCTGATTTTCAGGTTACAACATGTCACATCTCAATGTCACAGACCTGAGACACCAAACCCCTTTACACTCCATCTTCCACACACACACACACACACACACACTTTCTTGTATATATATATATATATATATATATATATATATATATAATATTGTTGTATTGTATATATTGCTGGACTATTGCAATGCTCGACTATTGCAATGCTCTCTTGGCTTGTCTTCCAGCCACTTCTATCAAACCTCTACAATTAATCCAAAATGCCGCTGCAAGATTAATCGCATGTCACACCTCTGTTCATCAATTTGCACTGGCTACCAGTAGCTGCTCGCATTAAATTCAAGGCAATAATGGTTGCCTACAAAACCACCACTGGCTCTGCACCCATTTACCTAAATTCATTACTTCAGAGTTATGTGCCCACTAGAAGCTTGCGTTCTGAAAGTGAACGGCGTATTATTGTGGCATCTCAAAGAGGCACAAAATCACTTTCACTGACTTTTTCATTAACTGTTCCCTCCTGGTGGAATGACCTGCCCAACTAAATCTAAAACACATCTGTTCTATCTTTATTTGACCCTCTAACTAAGGGGTGCCCAAACTCGGTCCTGGAGGGCCAGTGTCCTGCAGAGTTTAGCTCCAACTTGCCTCAACACACCTGCCTTTAAGTTTCTAGTTTGCCTAGTGAGAGCTTAATTATCTGGTTCAGGTGTGTTTAGTTGGGGTTGGAGCTAAACTCTTCTGGACACCGGCCCTCCAGGACCGAGTTTGGACACCCCTGCTCTAACTCTAGCACTTTCTATTCTATTTTAATTCTACTTTATCTATATATATATATTTTTTTTTAAGGAAAAAAAAAACTATCTTTCTATTTTTTCTATTCTATCTACTTGTTTTTCTTTATGTGTGTGTGTGTGTGTGTATAGTATAATATATATCTTGCTACGTGTACTACGTTAGGCTAACCGAAACTTGTCATTTGCACTTATATATTGTTGCTCTTTTGTTAGATAGATGAAGTGTCTGTCTCTCTCTCTGGGGGGAAGAAATACATATACAATACAGTATTTACAATACAATACTTGGTGTACATTCATTTTAGTGTAATGTTAAGTACTGATTCATCACAGTACAATATCCAGTGTAAATACAGTTTAATATAATGTTTAGTAATGATTCATTTCAGTACAATACTTGGTGTACACTAATTTTAATATAATGTTCAGTACTGTTCAATTTTAGTACAATATTTGGCGTACATTCATTTTAGTGTAATGTTCAGTACTTATTTATCTTTGTACAATATGTTGTGTATGTTTAAATGAATATGATATATATATATATATATATATATATATATATATATTGGTACACGGTACACAGAAGTCATGGTTTGGTACGTACGGTTTTAGGATCACAGTTCGATACAAGTTTGGTACAACAGGAAATGTATTTTATTTAAATTTTTGAACAGACAGTAATGCTACATGTAGCATAAGCAGTTGTTTTGGATTTTAATTAGATTGTATAATTTCAAGATTTAAAGCAAAAACAGAACTTTTGATTTGTTAAATTAAGCTACACAAGACACCTGCACAAAACAAAAACAGCTGACGGACTGCATGAAAATGACAGCAGGTGGCGCTTATGGAACAATAGTGATACAGCATTTCCTTGGGCATTATATGGAGGTAAGAGGAAAAGAAAATGCCATCGAAGCATTTCTGGAGACGGTCAGTTCCTGTGAAAGATGCATTCATATAAACCCCCACATATTTGTCTTTCTATATTTCAAGCATCGTGACCAGTGAGCTTCATCTGCCTGGTACAGTACTTTCTCCTCTTTACAGACCTCATAAAAATTCCACACAAATTACATTTTGGGAAATGATGGCAATGCAGTTTGTGTGCAATTTTGGAAGAGTGATCGGCCACAATAAAACTAAAAAACGGTTCTTATTTACAGCCGCATCTCTAGAACCCCAAACTTTCCCCCACTGCTAATTTAAAACAAGCAGGCGGTTCTTCGAGCTCTTTGTGGCATCTGAACTTGCCATTCTTGTTTTCGATTGGTGCATAGATCGTTTCTTTTTCTGCTCTTTCCTGTGGTGACAGTTAGCGTTGCATTACTGCAAGCGCCCCCTTCTGGATTGATCGCCTATGACTGACTGTATTCATCGTCTGACTGCATGAACCGAACCGTGACATACGTACCGTGATGGTTCGGGACAAATACATGTACCGTTAAACCAATAATATATATATATAGCTGATCAGAAGAAATGGACAGCCCCTGAGTTAAATATATGAGTGTCACAGCAAAGGGTCTGAATACTTAGGACCATGTGATATTTCAGTTTTTCTTTTTTAATAAATCTGCAAAAATGTCAACAATTCTGTGTTTTTCTGTCAATATGGGGTGCTGTGTGTACATTAATGAGGAAAAAAAATTTACTTAAATGATTTTAGCAAATGGCTGCAATATAACAAAGAGTGAAAAATTTAAGGGGGTCTGAATACTTTCCGTACCCACTGTATATACTGTATATATATTGCACTGTTAATATAGACATATTGTTTTCTTTGTCAATAAAACTTAGATGTTGTTTTTCCCATCATGTGTTGCTTTGTATTTTGTTCAGGCTTTAGTAGGATGATATAACATTTAGGTGCAAATATGCAGAATAGTAAACCAGTGCTTGAGGAAAAAATGGCAAATATCTCCACAGCTACAGTAAATTTTCCAGGAGAACTGACATAAGCTGGTATAAATGTAATCCATACAGCACAGAATATGAGCATACTGAATGTGATGAATTTGGCTTCATTAAAGTTATCAGGCAGCTTACGAGCCAGAAAAGACAGAATGAAGCACAAGACAGCCAGTAGGCCAATATAGCCCAATACAGCCCAGAAACCTACAGTAGAACCCAGACTGCATTCAAGAATGATTCTTTCCTTATAATATTTCATATTTTTGGAGGGAAATGGAGGAGATATTGTAAGCCAAAGCACACAGATAAGAACCTGTATAAGTGTAAAGGCAAGAACACTGAGTCGTTGTTGTACAGGCCCAAACCATTTCATGACATTACTTCCTGGAAGTGTAGCCTTGAAGGCCATTAACACCACTATCGTTTTCCCCAGAACACAGGAGATACAGAGGACAAAAGTGATCCCAAATACTGTGTGACGCAACATACAGGACCACTCAGTGGGCCGACCAATGAAAGTAAGTGAACAGAGGAAACACAGAGTCAATGAGAAGAGCAGCAGGAAGCTCAGCTCTGAGTTGTTGGCTTTTACTATGGGGGTGTCCTTCTTGCTGTAAAACACGATGGCCACCAGCAGAGTTAATCCTGCTCCAAACAATGAAAAAAAGACTAGCACTATACCCATAACTTCTGTGAATGAGAGGAACTCTAAAGTCTTTAACACACATTTATCTTTCTCAGCATTAGACCAGTATTCCCCTGGACACTGCCTGCAGTTATTTGAATCTGGAAAGGAAGTTGTGTTTACTATGGTTAGAGATAAAAACAAAATTATTTTATTTATGAACTCCTTTGATAAAAAACTGCACCCTGAAGAGCAAAAGAAAACCACAAAAAGAGCAACTAACCAATTTTCTTTGGAACTTTGAGATTGATTGAAGTTTACCTGTCTCATTACTAATTTCTCCTTCTGCACATAGAATACAGTCATAACAGCAGACAGGTCTTCCTTTCTGTGCAGCCTTCCTAGTGCCTGGAGGACAGCTCTCACTGCACACAGACCTCGGCTTCTACATTGAAAAATATAGATATGTACACTTGTGTGTGTGTGTGTGTGTTCTTCAACGCAGTCTACATTTTCTACTCTATCAAAGTATATAACTTGGTCTTTATTCTTGAAAAAAAAAATACATTTGCAAAATGGTTGAGGTCACTGTTATTTATTATCCTAATAATAATCATTTACTTATAGTGTAATATTCTCCTTTTGTATTAGATGTCAGTGCTAGCATTTGCATTTTTTAGATTTTGGCAGCCCAGTTTAAGCAAAAAAAAAAAGGTTATTGGCATTTACCTCCAGCTGTCCTCCAGCCCAAAGTATGTTTTCAGTGTTAACCACAAAGCGCTGGTCAGGGGGCAGTGAGGCATCATAGTATCCCACTGGTTTAAATTGGACTGATCCATCAAAATCCTGCTGCCAGTTCACAACTTCATATTGGGCTACTGTGGCACCAGTGCTGTCAAACCACACACGATCTCCAAACTTTACAGTGAAATTTACCTTTTTCAGAGCCTCAACCACCTAGTGAAAAGACAAATTAGATGTAATTGACTAATTGTAATACAATGTCAACCAGAAATACTTATCAGTACCACTCTATAATAACTTTCATTTATAAATCATTAACAAACATTATATAATGCTTAACAAATTGTTTGTTAATATATGCTATACTATTACTAAATTTATTAAACATTACCTAATATTCAACAGATAATTAATATAAATTTAAATGCTGAAAAATGTCATTAAACTTTTAATTCATATGATCATGCACTTCTTGAAAATCTACAAATAATTTGAACATATGTTATACAATGATTAAAAGCTTTTGTTAATGTACAACACTTTTGCTGCTATTGAGGTGTGATATGGGTAAGGTTAGGGGTTGGTCGTATGGGTAGGTTTAAGGGTTGGGTAAGGGGTCAGAAGTGTAGAGGGGTCAGTTTGATTACTATGAGGGAACATGGTTCAATTATGTTATAGTATGTTTTGATAAATAAACAAGTATTTTCTTGAAAAATTGATTTGTTTTCTCCTGCTGATTTATGATTCAAGGAACACCCTGTTTAACGATATAGTATACTAATATAAGTGTTGAGGCAATAAAAACATGTTTTGCACCCAAATTACAACGTTTGTAACGTCTTTAAGAAGCATTTACATAAACTTAACTAACCACCCTTTACACAAAAACGTTGTTACAGCAGCTAAAAGTCCAATAACCATTAAGGTCCTGAATGATTATTAAACATTTATAAACATTTACAAATGATAAATAGTTTCCACTTTAGATTGGGTACTGCAAAAACATGAACAAATAATTAATAATAAATTATTTGTTAAGATGTGTAAATAGTAGAAGACTAAAACAGAGACCAAATGTTTGGCCTTTACAGACTGTGGTTATGAGTTAATGAATAATGTGTTAACATGAATTCAGTGAATAGTAAAGAGCTTAAAATTACTTAAGTTCTTTTTTCACAACATTTGTAAATGTAAAAACGAACATTAGGTAATATGTGAACTGAAGTTTAATGATGATTAATTTGTTAGCATCCAAAAGTACATTAACAAATAAGCTTGTAACCATTGTATAATTTATTTTAAAATCATTTGAAGATTTTTAAAAAGTGCATGATCGTATGAATCAAAAGATTAATGACATTTGTACGCATTGACTAATGATCAGTTAAGCATCATATGTTTGTAATGATTTAGTAATGAAGCTTTTAATCATTGTAAACCATCTGTCTGTCTGTTAATCATTAGGTAATGTTAAATAAGTAATTTTGTTAACATTAACAAGCACATTATCTCATATTTCTAGCTATGTGAATATATATTATCTAATGATCTGTTAAGCATTATATAATGTTTGTTAATGATTTATTAATGAAAGTTATTATAAAGTGTTACCTACTTATCTCTATCTGTTTAGCTCAATTCTGGTTTATTTATTTATTTACCTGCTGTGGTTGTATTTTCAGGCCGTTCGCACAGCCTTCTTGTGTTTTGCACTTGAGTAGACTGTGTAGTGAGTGAGCCACAGCATAAACTGCTTTGTAGGCGTTGCTTGAAAATCTGTGTTCAGGCACATCTTCATTGTAATTTTTCAGCACAAGTAGATCCTGATAGCTGCTGCAATTTACTTTGATCTGAGAATCATTCCCTTGATCATGTGAGCATGGAAAAGCTGTGTCCCAGAATGCTTTTATAACATAATCGGCAAAACCTTCAATATTGATTTTTCTCATTGCAAACCCCAGTGAGCCTCCCAGCACACGAAAGGTTGTTGGAGTGATCAAAGACTTTGAAGTTATCCATGCCTCCACACCAACCATTTGGAGGCCCGTTATGTTCTGAATACTTAGCTGTTCAGTTAATAAACCCATCTCAAGAAATGAAATGAATGCAACAATCACTTTTACGGTACCTTTTTTTATTGTGTCTACCACTTTTTTGAGTTTTTCAGGCTCTGTTCTGTAGAATTTCACAGAGTACTCCACACAGATACCTTCCTTCTGAGCTGTATTAAGAAATATGGCCATTCCATTGTTTCCATAATCATTGTCACTGTTCACAGCTCCCACCCAAGACCAGCCTAAGTGCTTGACTATATATGCAAGTGCTCTGCCTTGGTGGTAATCACTAGAAATAGTCCTGAAGAATGAGGGGTAGTCTTTTCTATTACTAAGACATTCACAGGAGGCTGCATGACTTATCTAAAAAAAAAAATAAAAAAAAAATAGAGGAAACAATTAAATGTGTCCACAATATGCTGATCAAACCTATTTTAATTTGCACCTACCACTGGAATTTTAAAAGGTCCTGTAGTTCTGGACAAAATCACGGTGGCAGAAGACTCTGTTTCTCCTATGATAGCATGTATAGGAGACTGTCCACTGCATGTGTCCCCTGCTTCAATCTCTAGACCATTCATTAGTCCGACAGTTGCACTCATAGAAGACATTCTTGAACTACAGGTATCATAAATTCTGTAGCCAATAGAAACATTTGGGAGCAAACTTTCACTTCTGTTGATCTCTTCAATGGCAAAAATCATGATTTGAGCTAGCCGAAAATCTCTCAGATTCACACTGTGAAAATCAGCAAATCAGCTAATATTAACTAAATGTATAAACAGATAAAGACATTGTTGAAGTAAAAGACATGCATATACATACTAAATTCCACATAACATTATAACAAACCTGGAGCATGATAGAAACTGAGGTTTTTGTGTAAACTTGAATGAAGATAATGTCTCTATGCTGTGTACTGGAAAAAGTGCCCCAATAGTTACGTCTCCATCCTTGAAAAGCAGAGGGTGCTTAGGTTCTCCCATCATTCGGCAAGGAGTGTTTCCCACCTTTGCTTGAAGCTGAAAGAAACACAGGAGAATGTAAAGAAACAGAAGCATCTCAAAGATTGAACTCAACTATATTTGCCAAATGCACCTAATGAAGTATTTGCTCTTTTATATGCTAAATTATTATAGATGAATGATTGCAAACGTAGCCAATGATCTCACAGGGCAGCATATGAGGTGGGTCAGGCATTGGTCAAATAGAGTCTAACACATTTTGGTAACATTTTCTATGAAGCCCGTGTTTATAATACATTATAAGGTTATTAATAAGGCATTATAATGAATGAAAATGTTGTATCATCTCATTGTCATAAGAACAGTTTTAATGTATTATAATAGTTACTTATTTGTGGTTATAGTTTTTAAGAGTATGATGATTTATAACACACAATGAACATGTTGCATCCACTTAAGTTACAATGAATTATATTTCCCATAGTTATAATATATTATAAGTCTTATATATTGCCATTGTTTAAGATCTGCACAATAACTTATTAGTGTTTTTACTGTAAAGGACAAATACAAAGTCTTCATGAAAACATCCAACTGCTTTATAATGTGGTCTTATTATTTATAAGTGGTCTTTGTCTGCTTTAAGTAAAGTAACTTTTCTCAAACAGCCATAAAATCAGATATCAGATCAGATGAATGTGTAAACATTTGCTTTGAACTATTTTTATTGTAATATCAGTATGGTTATTTGTATGGTACCCTAACTGTTGATAAGTAACTTTGCAACTACATGTCAACTGGCAGTCATTAGAGTATTAGTAGTATGTATGCTAAACATCAGCTAACACTTTATTTTGATGGTTTCCCAACTGAAAATTAGCAACTTTGCAAGTACGTCAACTTATTCTACCAACCATAACCTTAACCTAAGTCTACTAATACTCTAAATAAGAGTTGGTTGGCATGTACTGTAGATGCAAAGTTGCTTATAGTCAATAGACTAATGGGGACCATCAAAAAAACAAACAATATGCTTTGCATATTTTTTTCATTTGAAAGTATTACAACTGATCTTAAAGTAGTTCACATAAAAATTAACATTAACCTCACAGAAAACATCACTCAACAACTCCTAACAAACACTCAACCACACCTAATCTCTCGATGTAGTAAGATACTGTGCAGATCTTAAATAAACAATGTCACGATATGAGATAATCCATTATAAATTAAGTGGATTTAATATGGAATTAATTGTTATTTATTAATTATTATTATTAATCATACTCTTAAAAGTTATAACCACAAATTTGTAAGTATTACAATGTATTATAATTGTTGTTATGATTATTTATGAGATGATACAACATATTATAAGTTTTTTTTATAATGCATTATGCATTCATTATAATGCCTTAAGGATAACATTATATATAACATTATACTTCATAGAAAGTGTTAGGCAAATGTTCTTACACTGTTAGAATATAGTAAGCTTTAAAACATTGAATTCTGGATAATTAAGTTCCCTTCTGAGGGAACTCGAACTGCATCCTCTAGCGGTCACTATGGGGAACGCCTTCGGCGTGACTGGTGTCTGAAGCAAACATCTAAACACGACAATAACATTGGCCGGCGACAGCCTATGACGTCACTACCGTCGCGACCACAGTATAAAAGGGTGCCGATAGAACACGTCATCCTCTTCTTCTTCTTCAGGGACTGTTTTGTTTGAAGCATGCATCTGGTAAGAACGCTGCTCTTTTTACTATTATTGTGGCGAGCACTAGTAAGACTTTTAAGAAGTGTGTGGATCTGTGTCCTCGTTATTTGACACCTGATGACTCACACGATCTTTGCGTGTTGTGTTTGAGCGAAGAGCACGCACGCGATGTCCTTGAGGGGGCAATCTGCATGCATTGTAAGTCTTTTTCAATGAAAAAGCTCCGCTCTCGTTTGTCTCTCTTCTCGAGGGGAGGGAGACAACCACCAGTTCCTAGTGACTCAGGACCCGCCGCTGCTGTGGCACGGTTGAGAATGAGTTCATGGGGTCGTCGGCTGTGGGCGAGAGTGAGCTACTGGACGAGGATGCAATCTCTCTTGCATCCTCTGATCCAGCGGCTAGTGCTCTGCTGGCTTCTGGCAAGGAAGAGCAGGTGATCGTTAATGAGGACCAAGTCCTCTCAGCCCTCCTGCCCTGCATACGCTAAGCTATTGGAGGTTACAAAATGCGTCACAGCAAGGCTTGACTTGCCGTGGAAGTGGGGCAGAGAGGAAACCGTTCGGGGCAGTTGGGATGAACGTTACCTTTCTGATCATAGCCCTCCAGCTTAAGTGAGCCTTCCTTTCCTTCCCGATTTCCATGTGGAGATTGAGAGGGCTTGGAAAAATCTGTTTTCTTTGTGCATCCACTATGCCAATATTGAAGGGATGCACGAATACGGATATGAGAGGATGCCTCCTATTGGAGAGACGCTAGCCTGCTATCACACATCAGGATAAACATCTTCTCTTAAGGCTCCCCCTATGCCATCCAGACCCCTTCAGGTAACATCACGTCTTAATGGCAAGGCGTACACAGCAGCGGGTCAGGCTGCAGCTGCACTGCATACCATGGCAGTGCTTCAAGCTTACCAGGCTGATCTGCTGAAAGACCTGGATAAGGGTCAGGGCCTTTCCCCTGAAGAGATTTTTGAGCCACAGATCATCTCCCTAATTCCCCCTACCACCTACCCCTTGCCCTAACGAGGTTAGGCAGGAGCTTCCATGCACTTTAGTCTCTATTCTGGACTGATGATGTGTTTGGCTGTTTCTATTTCATATAGAACTGCCTACTGATGGTCCGGACCCAAGTTGGGTTCTCCCCTGGTTCAGAAGGACACCTTCAAGTGTGTGCTGGAATGACGGTATGTGAGTGAGAACCATTTAATTCCTTTGTTATTTCTAGTTTATTGTGTGTTGTAACTAGAAACCTTGTTTTGCAGTACTCTGGTAACCTAACGGGTTCCCGTTAGCCAGGTTGTATACCTACTCGCATCTCTAGGTCGAGCCAGGACTCCTCACCTTCCAGTAGGTGCAGTTGAGCGCTCTGCTCCCTGAAAGCAGTCTTGACTGTACCCATCCACATGGGCTACCTGCGGATACGCCTGGTACAGGATCCTGCCAGCAGGTTGTTAGGCCTGGTTTTTAGGTCTCCCTGTTTATTCTGGAGAACCCTGACACCCAGGTGTTAAGGCCCTGGGTTAGCGCATGTTGCGTCAAGAAATTCCTGCAGAGGGCAGTGCAGTGTGATGGCTGAGCTGGAACCTGTAAGGTTGTGTTTCCGGGGGGCAACAATAAAATGGTGCACCTCTAAGAGCACATGCAGGTGAAAAGTTTGGAGAATGTATTCATTGATAAACAAACAACTTTCACCCATCCAGCTCAAATTCAACTCTGGAGACGCAACTGGTATGAACACTGTTAACATTTTCATGTGTGTTGATGTAAAGTATCAACTTTGAAGTATTGTAGAAATATCAGTATTGTGTTTAAATTATGTAGGATTTTGTTTGATGGAATTTGTTACAGTGCTGATTAATGCTAAGTTTGATGTTATTTCTGTCATGACAACTCTCAGAGGGATTGGCATGGTAATGTACATGACAATGTTAATGTATTTGGTATTGGCGGAATAGATCTGCTACGCTGCTGCGGCAGAGCAAGTACCGAGACTTGCTACTGCCAATACATCCACAACATACTGCTGTGAGCATGTAAGAAATATTACTGCTGCAAATATAACATACATTAAATAACCCCCATATAGCATACATGAATCACCTCGTCGCAGATATATACAGGTGGAGCTGGGGAAGGTGGGGGGATTCTGAAGCAAGTTGAAACTGCTACGGCAAGCACTAGTCATTTATTTGAATGTTGAGCAGCGAGCTCATTGACTACCGATACAGGAAAGAACCAATCAGCTGTGTCATGTGATAATGATGCCATTAAGTCAGATTGAGTTAGACCTATCGGACTGTGCCATCTAGAGTTTCATGCCAGAACTCTGTATTTGTCTTATGTGGGAATTTAAGAAAAATTAATTGATTTGAAAGGTTTAAGTTTGTCAACATTATAGTTATTAAGGCATAAAATCATTTTATTTGATCTGCCTTAATTGACTATAGTTAATATTTTGATGTTGAATTAAGTGGAATGTGAAATATTAGTTTAAATATCTTTATTTATATTAATTCATATTTTGTGTTTGTATCTATTTTTAAAGTGTGATGAGAGGGGCGGGGCCGAAAGCCGTGGGAACGGAGCAAGGCCGGTGGAGAAAATGCTAATGCACAACACCTGCGCAACTCACCGGTCTCGAGTCCCACGGAGGAGCTTCGGAAGGATAAAAGGAGGAGTGACGACAGTGTTGGAGGAGAGAGGACCAGGCCTGGACTTTATTTTGTGTGCGGCAGTCGTCCGCGAGGGGCTGGCGCTTTACTTTCGTTTTGTGTTTGTTTATTTTATTAAAGTTTTAAATGTTCGCCGGTTCCTGCCTCCTTCTTCCCGTGACTACGAACTTTGTTACATTAAGGTTATCAACCTTCTACTACTGCAATTACAGCTACTGTACAGCTGCTTCTACTATTGCTTTGCTAAGCCTTTACAAACAGAAGTAAAATAAAAACAGTAAAGATGAGTTGTCCTCTTGTGTCCTTCAGACCTTGAAAGTCATATATCAAGTTTGGGCAGAGCTG